TAAAATTTTCATATAGTTATTTCTACCAAAAAATAACGATGATGCATTTCTCGAATTTAAGCATAATAGTAACCATATATATTTAGGTTGCATCCAAATGGAACCCAAATCCTGGGCAATATATTCTCAACGTAAAGCTCATTTTCGGATCATGTGTGCGAATTTGAACAATATTAACATTAATTATTCATTGCATTAGAAGGCTTTATTTCATGGACTTCATACTAGAATAATGGGATTTAATTAATCCATGGACATCTAGGATTGGTTGTGCAAGGATCTAGCCGCATGGGCCATTGATGGATAGAACATTTGTGTCTAAATTTAACCAAATTGATATCGCATTCATATGGGAATGGGCTGCCGTGCTTAGTTGGTGCACGAAGTCATGTGTAATGGAATTTGATTCTTAATACAAGTAGAGTTTTGCGATTGGGGCATGGACCATTATTGTGCGAAACTCGATGCTATCATGAATGGAGCTCAATCCTATCCAAATAGGATCGTGGTATTGTTTAGATAGGAGGGAGACTCAACATTAAATGGGATCTCGTTCTTGTTGTCGATGAGAACGCGATCCTAATGGACATGAGAACGTGATCTCATTTTACATATAACGTGTTCCTGTCAAATAGGGATCTCAATCCCAATGTCTCAAGAACTCCTTATTCAAATGAGAGCTCGCTCCCTATTCAAAAGGGAACTTGTTCGGTAAATACATGGAACGCGTTCCATTTAAATAGGGATCTCGATCCCAATGTATCAGGATCTCGCGTCATGTTCAAACGGGGATCTCGATCCGTGACTTTTACCTTTACCGGATCTCGCTATCAAAGCTATGGAGTTTCGGGCAGCCATCGATCCCATGCTCCTGCTCCCAGAACTGGAATCGCTCCCGCTTCCGATAACTATGTTCTGAATTATATAGGACCTTAGGATCCCCTTCCTAAACTAAATCTTGCCTTAGGCTGTTCTACAGTTGCTGTTGGCCCTTCTTTGAAGGTTTCAAGGTCATTTATGTGTCTATCCTCCTTGCTCTTTATTTTTAATACTTCACATATCCCTTTCTGGATCTCAGATTAATTTAGAGTTAGTGCTTGATGACAGGTATTCTGAAATCTTTCAGACTTTTCTAAACATAGGATTCTCTTAAGGCTGATTTTTATATCGGCCTCGTTTAAACCCCTACCTCTTCTATTCAGATTTCC